GTGGTACTTTCAGCATTCTCCGCCAGCACCACAACTCAAAAGCATCAACTCTTCTTCGGTCTTCCTTATTCATTGTCCAGCTCTCACATGCATACGAGGCAACTGGAAATATCATGGCTTGCGTCAGGCGCACCTTAGTCCTCGAGGAGATATCCTTGCTCCTCAGCACTTGATACAGTTCCTGGATTCACACTTTATAAATTCCACATTCTGGTTTCAAATATTTGCCGCAGTTTCTTCTTATTTAAACTTGTGCCACATGAGCAAATAAAGGTTCCAAATGCTTTACTCCATCCACATCATTAAGTTCAACTCTACTTTAAAGGGGCAGCTCCTCCCCAATGGCAATCTGAGTGCCTTCCAACCTCAGGTGCTCATCTTCTGTCACTTTATCAGATAGTGTTTCATTTCTATTCATAAAATTTTCCAGTAGTATATCCTGAGGTTTTCAGTGATCAATATTTTTCAGAAGTGGACCGTTATGTCCTTGTTCCTAGTTTGTCTTAGTCTCGAAGCACCACTGAAGTCTATCCACTATGGATGACCGTGACAGCATTTAAAGTAACTAGTGAAATCACAGCAACATGTAAGCCACCACAGTACGAAAAACTGACATATGAATGGAGGATTTTTCAATGGCAAGAAGAAAATTTCAGTATCTATATTGAAGTACAATGCTGTCGATAATAGGATAATATCCATATGCTAAAAAGCAAACCAGTTACTACTATGTTATTAAAATTTATGCACCAACCACTAAAGTCAACAATGAGGAAATTTTTAAGAACTTCTCCACTGTAACACTGACCGAACACACAATCAAGATGCATTGATAATTACTGGTAGCTGGAAAGACAGACTTGGAAACAAAGAAGCAGCATTGATAGTTGGAAAATACAGCCTTGTTGATAAATGTGCTGGAAAGGAAGTAACAGAATTTTGCAGTACTGACAACTGATTCATTACAAACACATTTTTTCAACAACATAAACAAGGCTGATACATACTGCCTCACCAAATGAGATACACAGAAATCAAATCAACTACATCTGTGGAAAGAGACAATGGAGAAGCTCAATATCATCAGCCAGAACAAGGTTAGGGGCTGACTGTGGAAGAGATCATCAACTGCTCATATGCAAATTCAATTTGAAAATTAAAACAAGTCAATGAGAGGCAAAATCTGACCCTGAGTACAACCCATCTGAATTTAGAAACCATCTCAAAAAGAAAGCTGACATACTGAACACCAGTGACCAAAGACCAGATGAGTTGTGAATGATATCAAAGCTATCATACATGAAGAAAGCAAAGGATCCTTGAAAAGACAGGTAAAGAAGAGAAGATCAAAATGGATGTCAGAAGAGACTCTGAAATCAGCTCTTGAATGGAGAGTAAGTAACTAAAGTGAATGGAAGAAATGATAAAGTAAGAGAGATTCACAGAAGATTTCAAAGGGCAGTACAAGGGTAAAAAGTATAGTATTATAATGAATTGTCCAAAGACTTGGAGTTACAAAATCAAAAGGGAAGAACATACTTGGCACTTCTCAAACTGAAAGAATTGAAGAAAAAATTCAAACACTGAGTTGCATTATTGAAGGATTCTATAGAAAAAACATTAAATAATGCAGGAAGCATCAAAAGAAGATGGAAGGAATAAACAGAATCAGTGTACCAAAAATAACTGGTCAACATTCAACCATTTAAGGAGGTAACATATGATCAAGAACAGATGGTCCTAGAACTACACAGTTCCTCAAGGAAAATTTAGAGTCAAATTTAAGGGCCCTAATACATGGCATAAATAGACTACCAAGCATAATTCAAAATGCACAAACAGCAGAAGAGAAACCAGATGATTG